GGTCAAATAATCGTGCAAAATCTCTCTTGAATTACCTTAACTAGATCATTAATATATAGCATATAGTTAACTAACTGTTTAATTGGTCTATTATTATTTATCAACATTGTCAATTTAATTATCGCGTTTGCATACCAAGATGTGCGTATTCTATTGCTTCTAATATCCATAATCCGAATAAGCCACTGAAACGTTTACGGCAATAGACCAATCATATTAGAATTGCACAATTAACGTGTTCAAAATAGATACGCATAACATAACCTCAGGTGGCAATGCGTATGCATTATTCTACCATTATATATATTATTAACCTCGTTGCATACGGTTCTGCTTATTAAATCGATTATTAATCGACACTATTTGGTGAAATCTGTTACTTAACCAATACTAAGACTCTATTATGGGGGGGGGGGTTTGAAAGATACCCTAACTTTTTGGGGGAAAGACATGCGACTGCGAGGGTCCCGGGATCTCGAATGGGACGCATCGTACTGTGATATTTGGGTTTCTGCTCTTTTTGGCTCTGACCTATCCTATGCGATTCTAAGACTCAATCCTATCTTACGATTGATTGAAGGGATATACAGACAATCTTATTTTTTCTTAATTCAGATTTCAAATCAACGAAAACATACAACTAAGAATTTGGTACAGAGGATTTTGATTATGTGGTTTCGATGAGTCATATTTTACATAACCTGCAAGGGATTATCTTTTTTTTTACATTTTATCTTATATATAAAATTCTTGTCAAAATTTTAGTAACTATACTCCTCCAAAACTGACCGATTTTTATGACATTTTATATGCTTAATTAAGTAGGTCTGAGAATTAGCTACTATCTATTTATTAATCCTGCGCGGACGTAGTCGCGGGCGATAGCTAGTTGTATTCTATTATAAATGCAATCTAACTAAGTATTGTAGTAAAAGCCAGTATAATAAAAACGTACTTTAAGGTTTATTTACATTTTAATATTAAATGGCGCTGAACTTAAATGAAATTTGTAAAAAAGTAGAGTGAAATTTCATATAAATAGTTAAGAGACCTTAAAATGCTTCTTTCGTTAACTAAAAACAAAACACAACTGTATAAAATTATCAAAGTTTTTAAATTATATGTCTGCATGGTTTTAATACAAAAGTTTCTCAAATCTAGCTTCATTTTCTGCTTTATTCATAATTCGTTTAAACGTTTTCGTCTAAAAGCTCCAACGAAATTAGCTCTCATTTATTTAATACGTGTGACAATCAAAAGGAGGCCTATACGCGAGAATATGAGGCTTTCTTTCATTATCTTCTGGCTTCTGTTTAATTAAACTCAATAATGTTCTGTACAAATAGGTTTCCACTGTCAAAAGACATGTACAAAAACATATTCTTTTTATTCTCTTTTAGACATATTTTTACTGTGGTTAATAAAAATGGAAATTTTCAATAAATCTTATCTACGGGACGGCTGCACGGATCTTGCTGAAATTTAGCTGAAACATAGCCTGGAAGAACACATAACCTTCTTATTTTTTTTTTAAATTCGGCATGAACAAAGTCACGGACAACATCAGTTAACAACAGACTAAATAATAAAACGGAATATCGTCGTTTTTAATGACAAACAACTAAGTAGTACATTTTTTGAGCAGAGTTTTCTATCCTTATACTAAACAATTGATTTCTGTGGCCTAAATGAAAAATAAAATATCTCAAAATACATTGTACATACAGCTCTGAACCACCCTAGGTACCTTATTTAAATTCCAGCAATGGAACACCACCAATCTTTATAAATGTCTGTGTTTTATTTGAACATTTAAATCGAAGGATCTCCAATAAAAGGGAAAGACATTTCTTTTTTTCTAGATTTATCCTTTAACCTTAAAGTCATCGAAGTATTTTAACATTAAACATTTAATCATTCAATCACATATTTGTGGCCAGTAATTTTATGAAATTAAGAAGTAAAATAATAATAGTGATCTCCTACACTCGTATTCCACAGACATATTTTACGTAAGAATTTATTGTACTCCAATAAAAAAGGATAACTTGAAACTTAAATATTTTAAAGAACAATACTAAAATTGAAACTTGATAGCAAAGAAATCATTTAACATCGGAAATTTTGATAATTTTCTCGTTATGGTGATAAAAAGTTTAGGTGCTTCTTTAAAAGGCAGGAATATGGCCACTATATTACAACTTATAATTAATGAGAGTAATAGGTTTTCTTCTTATGTCAGCTACGGTAAAAAAAAAACAATCGAAGTGGTAAATCATAGCCCCTGTTAAATTATATTAGCAATAATTTCATGGAGTTTATCGAGCATGTCGGTAGTTGGTAGTCGTCTTACCAATTAAGAGCAAAGAGGTCCGTTGTTAGTGGAACACGTCGACTTAATCCCCTGTCCACTTAGAATACTCGATCCCTTTGCCGTCCGTTCCTCTCAGCTATTATGCCATACGAAGCTAATGCTTAGTAAATGTAATTACTCTTGTAACATTATAGTAAATGTTTGAATCATTCTTAGTACTATTATACTAGTTAAAATTATTTATTTAAGAGTAATTTAATTATTTCCGCAATAAACAGTTATTTATATTTGCTATAATTTTACTACAGGAGTATAACATTGTTCGATTATTATAAATTTTAGAAACTTATACTAAAAGCTTTTTTCTCACTGATATATAGGGATGTAAAACACCTGAAGACTAAATATTTTTTGGGGATCACATTCAGATGCAATTGACATTAACATATCTAGTTGAACAACTTTACAACGTGTTACGATCTTGTAAAGACATTGACAAAATCTGCGTAGGCTGTATTGTACTATTTTGTAACATGTGTTCGCACTTTAAGGAAGGAAGTAACAACTCTATAATAATAGATGTATTTTATTCGGGACAGGTTACGCCCCATTGACAAATTTACTTATAATAAAATTCACAATTCAAAATTTTGTTTATGTAAATTTCGGCATCCGCTGAATCGCCGTCTTAATTGTGTTGGTGCTTTACTACATGATACAAAAAATACTACATACAAATATTATAAATGCAAATGTTTAGATGGATGGATGGAAGTTTGTTTGAAGATGTCTCCAGAACGGCTGAACAGATCTCAATGAAATTAGGCATTCATATTGAACATAGTCTGGAAGAACACATAGACTGCTAATTATGTTTTTTTTTAATTCGCGCGGACGGTGTAGCAGGCGACAGATATGTTTTCATACAAATAGAAGCACGAAAACAAGTCTAACAATATAATGTGTGATATAATGCGCCACGACGACATCCCCAATAATATATTCCTTTAAATATGCAATAAATAAAACGCCTGTCATGCATTAAATCTCCGCCCCTGGGCAACTTGCCCAGAAAACTACTATGGCTGTTGTCTCGACTTGGCTTCAATGCTGATAATAATATAGATCTTGCTTCTAATATACCTATGCTCTACGTATCTTTAAAAATAAAACTCTATGGAATATTTGTTCTTAAATTAAATTTTCTTGCAAGAACTTTCTAAAACTTCAAAATTAAGTCCATAGACTAACTCTTAGGAATCAACGAATTTCTAAGATGAGCTTTTGGTGTCATTAAAACAATTAAAAAGTTTTTTTTTTTCGATTAGATGAAAAAGACGAGATTAACATGAAAGCACGCTCTAACTGGACATCTCTGAAATGTGATACGTTTAATTTCCAAGCTGAGACTAGTGGACCATTTCATTCCTGCTAGTTAACTTCAAGCAAATCTAAACCAAGTGTATTACATTTGAATAATCTAACTGTAATCTTGTCTTTGTCCTTGTTTCTGATGTAACTAACAAGCGTCAGTGGAGTTTGTCCAGTGTCAAGGTACATCAAATTCAATTTATTAATTATAAAAAAAAAATTGCGTAAATTTGCGACATAAACGGTTGTATCTTTTGATTGGCTTGGCTTAGAAGTTTTTTTTTCACTGCTCCTAGCGACCGCAGACCTGAACATTTGATATAAATTCCTGCTTGATACCTTCATGCGTTTTTGAGAAATAGGGTCTTGACAGACGGACGACAGGACGGACACCAAAGTGTTCCGTTTTTTTCCTATGAGGTACGGAAACCTAAAAATTATAATACAAAAATACGACATAAAAAATTATTATTTTTGTATATTGCATTCCAATGAACCAAGAAGACTATTAACTGTTATAGATTGCAAAGAACTATTTTATACAGAAAAAATAACGCTTGATAGAATTCAAATTCCCGAGTCCGGGCCTAACAGAAATTTACGTGTAAACGTTTTCATAACGCCATTAACAAAATTTTTGCAGCGCCCCCACTAGACTGAAAGTACAACAACTATTCTTACACTTGGACGATGAGGAAACGAAGGCGCGTATCACATATATTCGTTTTAGAATCAGGGTATGAATTAGTTGTGCGTAAACATGTGTGGGTGTCAGGACGCAAACAGCTTCAGATAACATTCGTAATAAAACATTACTGTGAAAGTTTGCAGCTGACATCTGTCAAATGTAAATTGAGAAAGGGGCGTACTATTTTAGATTTGTCTTTATCGGTAAAAAAAAATGTTGATGATAACAATTTTAACAGTGTGTTAAAAACAAGAATGGCGCCATTCGTACAGACTAGATAGGCTGAAGAACTGGTGAAGGTTATTTCTTTCTGTGTTCCTGAGCTTCCGCGGGCTTCTGAGACCAAAATCCACGTTTAAAACATACTGTTTAGTCAGAGATGAAAGACAGGGATGACGATATGATATAAACAGAGATTTTGGTACCAGAATTCCACAGTAAGTTATACAAAAATACGATAATAATGTGTAATTAAAAACTACACATGATAACTTAATGAAGAACATCTGGTCCACGAAATATGATTGTTTACGGAATGCATGTAATATGAGATAGGGGCGTAAAACAAATTCACGCCCCCTTTGATAAATTTACTCATAATCTCAGTATTTGCAGGCCACAGTCTGTAGATAGTCTTGTTAGGAGTGATCCGTGCGAGGACCATGTTGTGGATAGTGATACAGTTTTCGTTTATAATAACTTTTTGCAATGTGCTTATACAGTGTGAAGTTCATCAAGAAAGACCTAAAATAAAAACATCTAATGGTGATCTAATTTTAGAACCAGCATACAACAAAAACATTTATTTGCGACGTAATGGACCCAAGTCATCAGTATACTTGGGTGGCCTAAATGTACTTAATATCAATACTTCTTCTGCACCGGCACAATATCAACCGGCTTCTGGCAGTGAATTCGAGAATGATCTTCAAGATATAAATGGCATATCTGAAAGATTGCACAGACTTGAAAATCAAAATACTCCCTTGCCAGTCGACTTACTATTTAATATAACGTTACTTTCAAGAAAAATCAATAGACTTAATAATAGAGTTTCCTTACTGAGGACACAAATGGGTAGAAGAGTTAACAATTGTGAGTCTAATCCATGTCGTCACGGTGGAACTTGCCTAAACTTGGTAACGGGATACCATTGTCTTTGTCCATCAAATTGGGAGGGACCGAAATGCGAAGACGATGTGAATGAATGCCGCAACTTCGCCGGTACAGACTTGGGCTGCCAGAATGGTGCAACTTGCATTAATAGACCAGGATCTTACGAATGTTTTTGCCGAACAGGATGGTTTGGCCTCCACTGTACGAGGAAAGCTAAAGATTGTTCTGGCGGTGATTTCGAAATGTGTGGATATGGTACTTGCTTAACAGTAACCTCTGGAGATGGCATCAAGTGCATCTGCGATCAAGGTTGGACAACGAATGGGACAGGAATTGCTTGCCTTACTGATGTGAATGAATGTGAACAAGGTGTCCGGTGTTCTGTAAATCCCAGAGTCGAATGTATAAATCTTCCTGGTTCATTTCGATGCGGTGCTTGTCCACCAGGTTTTGAAGGTAATGGGTATGTCTGCTACGACATCGACGAGTGTCTCACTTTGCCTAACGGTGGTTGCAGTATTACTCCTTTCGTCACTTGCCATAATACAATCGGATCAAGAATTTGTGGTCCCTGTCCAATGGGATTCCAGGGTGATGGCGTTACTTGCACTTGGAGAGGCTCCTGTAGTATAAATAATGGCGGTTGCCATCCGTCTGCGCGTTGTGTGGAAAGCCGGTTTAGTTTCACTGCGAGGATGGGACAGTGCGTCTGTCCGGATGGAATGTATGGAGATGGTATCGGCGTTCAAGGATGCTACGTTCCAAACTCAGGTAATGTAACTCTTCAATGTGAAGACAATCCATGTGGTGAGCATGGACACTGTCATTCAGTTAGAACTGGCTATACTTGCATCTGCCAAAAGGGTTTTAACGGTGTGCATTGTGAAAATCCTGCAAATTTATGTCAAAGTAATCCTTGTCAAAATGGAGGTAGCTGCCGCTTGGACGAAAATTCACCTGGGGGTTTTAGATGTGAGTGTACTGCTTTATATTCTGGAGACTTGTGCCAGTCACACACAACTCTTTGTGGTGGTGTATTAAATCACGAAGAAGGAAGCATAATATATCCTCTAAGTAATGCTACCTATAGTCATAATGCTCGCTGTGCATGGGTTATTCATACGATACCAGAAAAAGTTATAAATGTAACATTCAGTAAATTTAATTTAGAATCGAGCCCAGACTGTCTCTATGACTTCTTACAAATACATGATGGTAGAAGCTCAGCTAGTCAGTTAATTGGAAGATTTTGTGGTAGTCAATTCCCTAAAGGAGGAAATATTGTATCTAGTCATAATAATTTATATTTCTGGTTTCGATCAGACCAAAGTATTGCTAAGGATGGTTTTGCTTTACATTGGACTAGTACAAACCCAGTGTGCGGGGGCGAAATCGATGCCAGTACTCATGGTCATATCAGCTCACCTGGCTCTCCCGGTAGGTATCCACCAAATAGAGATTGTTACTGGCGTCTCACCACTGCAATTGGGAAAAGGATACAATTACATTTTTTCGCGCTTGATATTGAATCGCATGTTAACTGCAGTTTTGACTATATTGCTATATATGACGGCGGGCATGTCAAGGATCCTCTTATAGAAAAATATTGTAACTCAACCCAACCTGCTCCTTTGCAATCGGCTGGTTCAGAACTTTTAATTCATTTCCATTCTGACGCATACAATTCTGGTTTCGGTTTCCAAATCGCTTATGCCCCAGTGGAAGGTATACCAGGCTGTGGTGGATACTTTACTGGGTACAGAGGCGAAATAACGTCGCCTAATTACAACGGTAAATATATCAGTAATTTAGAATGTGAATACAAAATTAAAACAAGTGAAGACACAAAAATCCGTATTAATTTTGTTTCTTTTGCACTAGAGAATTCGTTTCGATGCAAGTATGATTACGTTAAGATTTATGACGGGCCTTCTAGTGATTCTCGTTTCGTTGGTAAATTTTGTGGTACATCATATCCTAAATCATATACCTCAACATCTAATACGTTATTTATTATATTTAAATCAGATCATACAATGACTTCAGAAGGTTTCAGAATGACTTATGAATCTATTTGTCATAAACAATTATATGGGGATAGTGGCATTATACAATCGCCGGGATATCCCTTCAGTTATCCGGAAAATAAAGTTTGTGAATATATTATTAATACTTCTCCAGGGAAATCAATACAATTAACATTCCAAGATTTTAATATTGAAAATAACAGTTACTCCGATTGCATATACGATAATGTTGAAATTAGAGACGGACCCGACATCAACTCAACATTACTTGGAAGATTTTGTGGGTCGGAACTATTACCTCCAGTTCAAACTTCGACATTTAACATTATGTATATAAGATTTAGGTCCGATATGAGTATAACAGGTGCCGGATTTTACGCTAACTATACAACAATAGATACTGAATGTGGTGGAATTCACAGAGATACTACGGGGGTAATAAGTCACCCATCGGATTCAGAAACGAGTTACAAAGATAACCAATCTTGTACTTGGATGATAATTGCTCCTGAAGGAATGCATATTAAGCTTACCTGGGATAGATTCAAACTTGAAAGTCAAATTCGACCATCATGTACCAGCGACTTTGTAGAATTGTATGAAATAGATGATGATAACGAGCGTAGTTTACTTGGTCGTTACTGTGGTTTTACTATTCCACCCGCTCTCATTTCTTCTACTAATAGAATCATGATCAAATTTGAATCAGATAATAGCATAAGGGAAACTGGTTTTGCTTTATCATATTCCTTTGTAGATGAAAGATCGCACTGTGGCGCATTCTTAGTAAAGTCTCATGGTGTCATATACTCCCCTGGATGGCCACATGTATACGAGCCTAATCGCGACTGTATTTGGACAATTACTGTGCCTATTGGGCAGCAAATTAAGTTAAATATATCCCAGTTTGACTTGGAACGTCCCATACGTGATAAATGTGATCTTGGAGATTACTTAGAAATAAGAAACGGAGCGACAGAACAAACCCCTCTTATAGGCAAATATTGTGGTAAATTCAAATCAAAACGTATTATATCGGCAGCGAATACTTTGTATTTGCATTTCCATTCAGATTTTTATTTAACAGGCCGTGGCTTCAAAATTGAATGGGATGGCACCATAACAGGATGCGGTGGCACACTCACTAGTGCGAACGGATCTATTTCGTCACCTAATTATCCTAATAATTACAATGAAAATGCAGAATGTTTTTACAGAATTGTTACGAGTGCCGGATCTCGAATACGGATTTCCTTTACTGATTTAGATTTGGAAAAGACTCTGCATTGCATGGACGACTACGTCGAAATATTTGACGGTAGAGATACAAGCGCTTTAAGTTTAGGAAAACACTGTAACATGTCTCAAGCTTTAAGAAATATTGAAACGTCTGGAAACTACGCTTACATTAAATTTCGATCAGATTTTTACATAAGTAGTAAAGGGTTTCTACTAAACTATAATACTGTCTGTCAACGTAACCTTACAGGGAATTATGGCGTCATTGAAAGTCCAGGCTATCCCAGTAATTACCCTCATTATGCCAATTGTCTATGGACTATTACAGTTCCAAGAGGAAATAAAATTAACGTAACCTTTACACACTTTGACATATTTAAGTCACATCGAAATTTTGCCTGGAGGAGGTTAGAAACTTATGTACAAGTTCGTCCACATGTAGATACTTGTGATACAGATTTTGTTCAAATAAGTGAAACGGATGGTACGTCCGTAACAGAAAAGCTTTGTGGAGCTACATTGCCTAAACAAATAAATGTTCAAAGTAATATTCTAAATATCAAATTTAAATCAGGCGGTTATTTCAGTAGAAGTGGTTTCCGCCTGGAGTGGGTTAAAGATGGTTGCGGTGGTCACATTCAAAAGATATTTGGTGCCTTGTCATTGGATAAGAGAATGAATGTCGCTGAAAATGAAATAAACTGCGAATGGATAATAGAAACGCCTCTTGGTACAAGTGCTAAAATAACGTTCACAGAGTTGCATATGTACGACAGTAAAAATTGCACAGAAGATGCGATTGAGGTATACAATGGACAAAGTGTCGATGCGCCCCTCATAACGAAAATTTGTCATCGTTATTCGGGGATGGTCCAAGGAAGTTCTAATGTTCTATTAGTAAGATTTATCAAAAAGTCTTCTCTTAGGAATGTATTTTTTAACTCTTATTTTGATTCATTTAGATCTGGGTGCGGCGGTAAAATAACTGCGCCCTCTGGTATTATTTACTCAAAAAATTACCCAAAAAATTATGATGATAATTTAGATTGCATATGGTCCATAACAGTACCCAAAAATCATCGAATAAAATTACAAATGCTAGAATTTGATTTATATTCCGAAGATAATGACGATTCGTCATCTTGCGAAGACTTGGTTAACATATACGAAACAAGTAATATTTTGGACTCCAATTACACTTATCATGTTTGCCCTAAGACGAATATATCGGAAATTGTATCGAAGTCCAACGAAATGAGCCTTCAATTTCTTACAAATGGGTATGGGACTGCAAAAGGATTCAAGGCATCTTTTGTTATGATATGCGGTGCTCGCATCACAGCCGCTCGTGACGGAGTAATTAATAATAAATTTTTGCAAGAATCTAATGAAACTTGTACATGGACCTTGCTAGCTCCTACACCCAATTTAAAAATTAAACTAACTATAACACACCTGTCGATTCCCAAATATACGTTAGATAGTACAAATACAAGTAGGTCATGTCCAGCATCATTTCTGAGATTACTCGATGGTGACGATGAGGATTCACCTTTGATTGATGAATACTGTGGAAATAAAGTCCCTCCAATGATCGTAAGTCATGGTAGTGCAATGACCATACAACTTGGAACTTACGTTGGTAAAATTTCAGGACAATTTTCAGCACACTATACTACTTTAACCTCGGCTTGTGGAGGAACATTAACATCGGAAGAAGGTACTATCGCTTCGCCAAATTATCCCCAATCATATCCTCCTGAATCTGATTGTGAATGGATTTTAAGCACATCACCTGGCAATAAAGTATACATAACGTTTGAAGAGCTAAACATAGAAAATTCAGAAGGATGCAATGAAGATTATTTAGAAGTTCGTGAAGATAATGGCGGCGGCAGACTAATTGGAGCATTCTGTGGAAATGTTTTACCAACGAACACAACATCTGCAAGTAAACTCTATATAAAATTTCATAGTGATAGTAGAGACACAGGTCGGGGCTTTCTAATACACTATGGATTTTTGCATGGAAATGATATAATTGGATTGACAAGAGGTGAAATAACATCACCTTTGTATCCCAATACGTACGAGGGCCGTGCTGAATATACATGGCGTATAACTATAAAAAACCCTTCAATAATCGCTTTAAGTATTGACAAGTTGGAAATTCATAACCATGGGACAACTTGTCAAAATTACTTAGCATTTTATGACGGTTACAATGAAGAAGCTCCGCTTTTAGAACTGATGTGTGGAATAATCACAAACCAAATTAAATCTCTTAAAACAACTTCATCTGTGGTTTACATCAAATTGCATTTGGAAGCATCAAATATCGGTTCTCTTTTCCATTTACACTGGGAGCAAGCTGATAAGGATGAAGGAATTGAAATCAGTGATAAAGCTAATTGTGGATTTAATCATACAGAAATTATAGCCCCAGGACGTAGTGTGTCTTTCACCTCACCTAATTATCCCCTCCCGTACGATAATGACTTAAACTGCGTTTGGATTTTTAAATCAACAGTCGGACGTCACTTACTATTATCCTTCCAAGATATGTTTTTAGAAGAGACACAAAATTGTTTTGCGGACAAAGTGAACATATTTTCTTCAAATTCTCTAGATCAATGGACTCCTTTGAAAGAAAATGTTTGTGAATATAAAGCAATAAAGATGTCAATGAATGCAACCACTTATCTAAAGGTACAATTTAAAACAGATAATTCAGTAAATCAAAAAGGCTTTTCAGCTAAGGTTTCATCAATGTGTGGAGGTGAACTTTTTAATTCAGGAGTGATAGAGCCGACTTGGTTGGATATGCAAAACATATTTTCAAGTATGATGCGATGTGAATGGAAAGTGAAAGTGCGACCTGGGCGAAATGTAAAAATTGTCTTTGAAAATTTCAATATCACAAGTACCGATTGCTCTTCGTATGTTATAATACATAACGGTGAAACTAGAGATTCGCCTTTATTAGGTGATGGAAGATATTGCGGCTATACACATGAAAAATTAAATGACATAACTTCATCCAGTAATGCCGTATTTATAAGTTCTGTAATGCACGTATCAAGGGATTCCCTGGGGACTTTTAGAAATTTCAAATTACGATTTGAAGAATTAAATCATGTATGTGGTGTAACATCTTCATTGGATGTTGATCATCCATGGGAAGTCATATCTTCACCAAATTATCCTTACGTGCCTCCACCTTATACCGAGTGCGTTTGGGTATTCATTGGTCCTCCGGGTGAAATTTTACGTATCGATTTTATTGAAAGGTTTGACTTAGAAAAATCAGATTCTTGTATTTCAGAATATGTAGAGATCCGTGAAGGTTCTACTATAAATTCTCCAGTAAAAGGTAGGTATTGTGGTGATAAGCCTGGTACAATAAAAACTAGCAACAATATAATGTATATTAAGTATTCAACGCAATTATTAGAACCGAGAAATGGATTTAAAGCTAATATTTCTATAGATGTCTGCGGTGGGACTATTGTGGCAACCGAAGGCACTTTGGAGTCACCGGGTTACCCACAAATGCCGGTTTTACCGTATGGTACAATTTGTAAATGGAATATCATTGGGCCTTCGGTATATAGTTTAAAACTGCAACTAAAAGATTTAAATCTTCCTGACTCTGTGGAACCTTGTGCTACAAAACTTACAATTAGCGAAAATTCTATACCAGTAAATAATACTATTACTATTTTAAAAGAATATTGTAGCGACGATATAGAAGAATATTCAACACCTATTGATTCTTTTACTAATCAAGTTATAGTCGCATTATCTATTGGAAAGCCGAATGATTGGGATCAAATTACTGATAACAGAGGATTTAAACTGACGTTTAGTTCCTGGAGGCCCACATGCGGTGGCACTGTTACAACATCAGAAGGATATCTTACTACACCAGGCTACCCCAGGCTAACAACATTAAGGTTTTGTCAATGGAAAATTAAACTACCTAATTCTAACAGACGTGTACGCCTAGAACTCTTAGACTTCGATATAGACAATCATCGCATTGGAATATACAACGATGTGCAATTTCAAACTCTGATTGAAAAAATACCTGGTACAAATTATTCTACTACAAATAAAGTGTTTGAATCATCTGGAAGTACTTTAGGAATTTATGTGTGGTTAAAGCCGTTGGGTACAAAAACTCACCGATTCAAAGCTCAATTTACTTCAAATGACGAAGCAATGTGTGGAGGTGAATTAAGTGGTATCACGGGAGAATTGTTGGATCCAGATCTCCAACGTTCGTACTTATGTTCGTGGCATTACAGTTACGACGATGTTGAGAATAACTCTAATTTTCAATATAATACGATGGTTATTCAAGCTAATGTTAATAATCCATCTATTAAAAAAAGTTGCCGCTTTTCCGAGCCTCGTTTAACTATAAAATCTATTATTATGGAAGACCTCGCAATCACTCGAACTATTTGTGGAGGCAATAAAGAAGAAACTTATAGGCTTCCGTCAAACATCTTGGATCTTACAGCTGTAAGAAATAAGGACAAAAACTTGAGTTTTCATCTTAAATGGAAGTTACAACCGTGTGGGGGAATCGTTTACGTGAATGAAGAAATGATAAATGTTTTGAATTTAACGAGTAATAGTAACGTTTCGATAGATTGTGCATGGGTACTTGTCGCACCTGTAAATAGTAAGATTGAAATTAAATTAGAGGGCGAATTTCAATTGGAATGCTCCAATGAATTTATACAAATAAGTCGAGGTACTGGAATGTTGACAGCAATAATTGGTGATTATTGTAAAGATAGAATTCCACAAAATCCTTTAGTTACAACTTATAGGTATACGTTTGTTGAATATCACTCAAATGCTAAGAATAACACTAAAATAAAATTAATTGTCAAAACAGCTACAAATCAATGTGGAGGAATACTAACAAAACATGAACGTCAATTTTCATCGCCTAACTTTCCTAATAATTATATTGAAAATCAAGAATGCATCTGGGAAATTAAAGCAGAAATTGGTTATAGAGTATCTCTTCAGTTTGTTGAACGTTTCGTAATTGAAGATACACCAAATTGCACTAAAGACGCGTTAATTATATATGACTGGAAAGACGACATGTATACTGAAGTTGCAAAACTTTGTGGCCGGCGACTACCACCGGCGTATAACTCGACTTTCAATCAAATGAAAGTGGTCTTCCGCACCAATTCTGAGATTAACCTGGATGGATTTAGAGCTCACTGGTCTTCTATTTGTGGTGGTATTTATAAAGCCACTGAAAAAGAACAAATACTGTACAGTCCAGGCTATAACAACGGATATTTGCCTTCATTGAAATGCGAATACCAATTTATAGCAACAGATAATAGGGTTGAATTGAAATTTTTAACTTTTGACATCGAAGGTACGTATCCATTATGTGAATATGACAACGTTACTTTGTCAGCGCACAGTCAGTATGACTATTTTAACGAGGTATACTGCGGACAAGAAATTCCGCCTCCCTTAAAAAACGTTGATGAAGTCCAAATGGTTTTAAGTACTGATAGATATAGTAGTAGAAAGGGATTTAAATTGTCTTATTCTATTTATAATTGTGGGGGGAATGTTAGTAATAATAGTCATGTTATTAAATTTGACAAATATGAACGAGATTTAAATTGCAGTTGGATTATACAAGCCCCAGTTAATAAAATTGTCGTATTGAGATTTGATTACATCGATTTAGAGAGTAATCCGGATTGCTACAATGATTACATCGCAGTATATAATGGATTGAGTATCGATAATAATAAACGCCTTGCATTGATGTGCGGAAATTTGAACTCTAGTACAATAATTAGGAGCAGCGGAAACGAAGTTCTCTTACAATTTGTTACCGACAGCAGCGTTACATATACAGGGTTTAAAGTTGAAATTATTTTCAGTTACTCGGAATCTACTGGATGTGGGGGGCAAATAGATTTAAGCCCTACATCAAGTCATACCTTAAAATCACCTCTTATAGGAAATAGTTTTGTATATGAGAATTATTTAGATTGTACATGGACTATAAAAGCGCCGCATGATTATGTCGTTAATGTTGAATTTATATCTTTCCACGTATCTTCTTGCTACAATGTAAATCAGACGGCTATAGGAATCAGCACGTGTAACTGTGACTTCGTTGAGTTCAGGGACGGAATAAATCCAAACAGTTTAATTATAGGCACTTATTGTGGTCATACTTTGCCACCACAAATACATTCGACTTACGAATACATGTCTGTTAGGCTTGCTACAGACGGTGAGATTGCTAGCTCGGGTTTTGAAGCTGTATTATCGGCAAAAGAATCGCTTTGTGGCCAAAGTGTGTTTACAGTTACAAATAACGTTCAAACTCTGAAATCACCAAGATACGATTCTGGCTTTGTTCCACGTGACTTACATTGCTCGTATCATTTAAGAGCTGACAGGTACGCTTCAATACGTATATCAATAAAGAATTTAGATTTGCAATCGGGTTCTTCGGATACAAATAAATGTAATAACGATTATTTGTTAATAACAAGCAACGCTTACCCTTATAATAATATATCCATCGGAAGTAACTTTATTTTGAATCCAGATGTTAATTCCTTTTTCCAAATTTCAAGTTTTTATGAACAAACATTTCCCAGAACTGCGGTATTTTGTGGAGTTAAAAAATCAGTTGATTTATATGTATACGGAGAAATTTCAATGTATTTAAAAACTACATCAGAATCAAGCAGAAGTTACAGAGGGTTTGACATAGAATTCGTTAATTCCGGTTTCTGTGGAAGAAATTACACCGATACACAAGGTAGGATAAAGTCTATGTATCCATTGCCAGACGATTCTATGGATTGCTATACGCTTATCACAGCTCCTGAACATCACACAGTTGCACTATACTTTATTTTCATTTCACCCGATTATGACAATGACGCTGTATATCTTAAGATATTTGATGGCGCCAATACAACAAGTCCACTTTTAGCTAGGTTTGCAAAGGAAGGCGTAGCTTACGTTGCAGTTTTTTCAACGGGCAGGAGCTTATTGTTGCATAACCACGGCGAAAACAGTCGAATATTATCGTTTGATTCGACATTTGTTTCTACAGACAAAGGTCGCGGATGTGGTGGAAAGCTGAATAACGTGGTAGGTAGAATTATGAGCCCTCTATATCCGGAAGTTTATCGTCAGAAAAGTACATGTGAATGGGAGTTAGAAACCCCACATGGAACACGTTTGGCGGTACATTTTGAAGTATTCGATCTCGGTATTGTATGCGATAAAAACTATGTTCAACTAGCAGATAGAAACGGCAACACAATATATACTTATTGTTCTGAAACACCCGCGGATTATATAAGTTCAGATAATTATGTTAAAATAATATTTATAACTGATATGAATAACGGTGGGACTGGTTGGGTTGCAGATTTTGCTGCATTAGCCAAATCTTGATTGTTATAAGTACTTCATGCAGATGCTAAAATCTATAACCTTTTGTTATAAGTAAAAATAGTTATTTTATTTTAGCTTTTAATTATATAATTAAAACTAATTAAATTAAACTATTGAAATGTGTGTTCTGATATATCCTATTATGTGTATATACAACAATAAAACTGTCGTAGTATCTAATTGTCAATTTAAAACATAATATATAAGTATGTATTTCAAACATTGTAACTTTTAGCAAATTATATAATAAGCCTGATGAAATACGCTGTTTATTGTATCAAGAGTGTTAACTATTTGAATAAAATAAAAAATAATTAAAGTAACTTTATATGTTGTTTCAATTTAAATTTATCCCAAATCTACGCCTTCGGCAACATCTGTTGCACGAATGCACCGGCTCGACCGGTGCAATACCACCACACAGAAGCCAGGCATAAAGTGGAAGCTATTTCTCGTTTTCTACATACTAATAAGAGATTATCAACAGGCTTACCTATGTCTAGAAGTGCTTATTTTCATCTATGACTTTTGAAGTCATATACATGTTTATTAGCAGAATGTTTTTTAAAGAATGACAATAAATCCCAACGTCAGCTGAATGTAGCGCCGAAAATTTGATCTACGACTCCGCTCTATAAAGTAATAACGTATAAAGACTGCCAACATTTTGAGTCGGCAAACTTTTATTGCTCCATAAAACTCCCGACGAAAGCAAAGTGCAGACTCCATCGGGAGGAGCACGGTGTAAGCATAATTTTTGAATTTTTTTTATCATCTTTCAAAATTAAATCATTCGAATTTTTTGTTATTGTAGGTTTCGACTGTCACGATACTTGTATTAATGTATTGACTTGTCTCTATTATTACAAAGAGATTGTAAGAGAGAACAATATATGTCTATACAAGTATTACTAATCGAAACCCACAGGGAAGCTCAAATTCTAGTAAATGTTTCAAAACAAATGAAGTAGTCTTATTAGAATACTTGCATTATCAGCGGAGTTAGACAAAATTTGTTTACTCCTGCAGTTTTCAATTAAAATTAGGGTCTTGTGGAAAATGACTACAAATTTTTATATCTTACTTCTTACTTATATTATAAATGCAAATGTTTGGAAGGATAATTTTAGAAGGTATCTACAGAGCGGGCAAATAGATCTTGATTAGGAGGAGGTAATTCGGAGTAGACGTAGAACATAATCTTGAAAACACATAGGCTAATAATTCATTTTTTTTAATTTCGCGCAAACGGACTCGCGGGCGACAGCTTACAATAGGGTGGAAAATGAGCGAGCGGAACTAAATACCGCTAAGAAAATCAAAACAGAGGTATAGTCAATGCATACTGTGGCAGTTCTTAAGACTAATAGGTTTAAAGTTGAAAATTCGTCGTTAAGTCGCTATCAAAATTTGCAATGCCAATATAGACCGCTATTTTTTATTTAAAAGACAAGTAAGTTGCATTGCTGATTAAAGAAACAGTTTATCATTATGCTGCATTCGTATCATGTTTCACTACTGCAATAAATCAATCATATTGTGACGGAAGAGCATAAAATAATTTAAAATATATCTGTTTTTCTACGAAAAAAAAACTGTGATCTCAAGATTAATTCCAATAGAATATCATTTCTATCAATAATTTATAAATACAACAAAGCAAGGATAAAATATGCAATACGTTGTTTGTTTAAAAAAAATCGTTCGTATTCTACAAAAACATTTTGCTGCTGTAAATTGTTTTGATCGTGGGAAAACTAGCTGTCGCCCGGGACTCCGTCATCGCGGTATTAAAAATACTTAGTAGCCTACGTGTTCTTCCAGACTATGTTCTACATCTAACCCAAATTTTAGCGAGATCCATGCAGCCGTTCTAGAGATACCTTCAAACAAATATCCATCCATCCAGACTTTCACATTAATAAAATTAGTAATAAAATTCTCGTGTCACAACGTTAGTCACGCTACTCCTGAATGCCCATGGACAATTTAGAAGCTATTTAATATTATAATAATTGCAAAATATTGTATAATACGGCAACAATGACTTCCATTAGCGCTTCTTGGCTGTGTCGTGTCACGGCCACTGGTTCAGGGCCAGCTGTGAACGGCCACGTGGGTGGTAACACTTAGACATTCCTATCTTACACATCTATATTAATCCTTAATGGTAATTTAAATATTGATGCCTAATATAACTAATATTTATAAGACAAAAAAGATGAAGAATTTAAAGTTTTTGGTACTTTTATTTAGTAAACCCTTTACTCTACCTTACTTTGCGGTGTTCATATCCTCAGGGTTTTCCGTAGACCTCACGAAGGTCTGGACAAATTTGTAAATCATTAACTGGAGAAAGAAAAAAAAATTTAAAGACAAGGTTCAGGCTCGAAACTAAGCTTTACAATTTCGTAACTTTCATAATATTCTTGTACGAATTTTCAATTTCTTTTAGAAAGTTGCAATGTGGATTGCACGTTTGTCGTAAATCAACGTGTACAGAGTGCGCTAGCTCCGAGCCGCGCTGCGCCGTGATGACAGATTTACTGCATACGTGCGTGTTTACTTTCCAAATGATGCTTCGCCTTTGTTGTTTAGACTGTGGAATCCTATAGCATACCAATGAACGATAAAACTTATAGACAAATTATCAGTTGCCTATAACTTTAAAGGCCAAATTACTATTTTACAATAAGTTTTATCTGTCTATAAGTTATGTAGGTATCGGAGATCAGGCCTAGAATTCTTCTGGACCTTTTCTAATAACACAATGATGGGAAGAGGAAATGGATTTGGCAGAGAAGACGATGTACCTAAAAGGGATCTCTAATAATTTTACTGTACAACCAGACAAACGAATTTGTTACTTTCTAATTTATTATTTTTAGAAATTATTAGTTAGAATCACTTAGCTCGAATGACGTGCTTTCATTACAAAGTCCAGTGTCAGAATGAATAGTGAGGGGACATAAACGTCGATATTTTAATAAGGCTAGTGTTGAGTAAATACACTGGCTCATTTCATTAAAAACATAAAAATAAAATGGATGCAACATCGATTATGGAATGGAATGTGTGTTTTATTTGTATACAAGAATGCTATTCGATTATCAATAAACTTGTACATTCCATTTCCTTAATGTTTTAATTTCTAATATGTAATAAAAAGTATAATAAGTAAAGTTCCAGTTTTTCCATCGTATAATATTAAGCTGTCATCGACATCTTGCTAACAATTACGTAGGGTTCAGATCATGCGGTCACAACGGCATCTAGTCTCTTGCTTTCCTTGAACATGTTGGCAACAGATATCAAGCGCTTTAATTGCTAGACCGCACCACTTCATAGATATATCTACAACTATAGTACCTAACGTCATGCACCATGGTCATATTTCAAAAACCTGTCTAAGCGTAAAGAAAAAATATTAACATAGAAAAAATTGATGTGAATAATTCAGCAGTGTATGAGTAATACTAATTCTAAAGGTAATTAATTCGAGTGTTAATTGCTATTAACATAATATGATCTAGAACTAAGTAGTTTAAAGTGTCTGATAGGAAAACTTAATTTTTTAGGGAAATATCTGTAATCTACACATTAAAGTAAGTATAGTTCTCTTCAAACATATCGGTGGTTCAAGGTCATCTACACGCTGCGCATTGCCTTTTGCATCCCGCTACGGCCCGCTACATCTAAAATTGTGTTCTGCTCAGCGTTTCGCGCAAAATTTGGAGCCGCTAAGATATCTGAAAACATTTATACTATACTTAAAGTTTTTATTCCTTTTTTATGCTTTACCATGTACATTGAAACTAGAACTTGACATTAGATTATATCTCCCATGATTGAACGTTTTGTAAAAATTCTAATTAAAACAAAACGATCATTAGCAAGTCGTTAAAAGGTCACTCGTAAAGTGCTACGTACGCTTGACCGTTTATTATAACACTGTATATTAATATACTTCCTTAATTATATGTTACAAAAAATATGACTTAATATATCATGATAAAGTCACGTTTCCGTACGGATCTTAAGTAATTATATAGTTTGAACTAATTGCAGTGGCCACACCTAAGACAACGCCTTTAAATATCATACAACAATTAACTTAAAGAAATTTGACTATGACAAACTATTAGTTATCGATATGAACAATAATCTACTCTTAAAAATGTAAGAACTAAGAAATAAATGTGGTAATACAATTCGGTATGAAACATTATATTTGTAACCCTTCTTGCGTATTGCTAGTATTGTCATCTCTGTTTGTCTAAGAGAGTCAGAAGGACGATCTCATGTTGTTTTTTATGTTTCATTACTGGAAGAGTTATTTGATAAATGGTAAATTTACACAAAATCAGGTTTTATACAAAGAAACGTTTTGTACATAAATATATGTGATTGATTTGTTTACTTATACATCTCAATCTTAAGGTCGGAGCCGTTAACTTAACCTATTTTTTTCTTATTGTAAAAAACACATAAAAAACTTAATAAAAACTACTAACCATGCCGTCGATTAACGTTATAATTAGCATTAAATACTAATAAAATCGTAATTAACTGTAAAAAGGTAAATCATTTAAGGTTTTATATGCATTAACCTAATTAATTGAATAACTGACACCATAGTGATGCTTTACGATTGTCTAAAACAACTTGTCATAAAATGCATTCTGTATCCTTAATGATAAATTACGTTATCTGTAATTAACGTAGTGAATCCTAAAGTAATAAGTAAAAACGGATTATTTATATAGTACTTCAAGCATGCGTCGTAAAAACTAACGTCGCCGGGGGACACGAATCAATGAATTAAACATAACGTAGTAAAAAATCTAGCGGCCAGTCTGCCTATAGATATCTTAAATATTTCTCGTTGCGTGGTCTCTAAAGTGGACAGGGGTTGGGACGTAGGTAAGAGTTTACCCTTGCTGTATGTGCCCTACGTCGCTGAGACCAATTTTTCTTTCCATTTTTTCGTTATAACAAAAGAAGGGGAAGAGTACTACAATGTGACCAATTCACGCCTGTCTTCGGTGTAGCCATGGTGTTGCACCTGTCGAGCGAGGCGTTCATGCAGCAGCTAAATCGGCTGCTGTCTTTACTACTGTTATATAGTCTCTAGGATCGCCGGGATTCACATGATAAATTAGTTGTAAATTTTCTTTCTAATCATCTCCTTACTGTTAAGTATTATGTAACAGGTAAGCTTATACGTTTAATTATAAATTTATACCTAAGTTTATTAGTGGGTAGTATTGAATGCGGAAGCTTAATCCAAGGGAAAAACAAGTTAGTTCATGTCTCATTACTAA